GGGGGGCGTTTTCAGGAGTGGCCGATGGCGGTAGGTGCCTCACCCGGCGCGACCCCGGGAGCAGCCGGGATAAACGAGGGGGTCGGCGGGCTCCGGAGTGGACAGCGGAGGAGGCAGGCTCTTCGCCGGCACACCCCGGTCCTGCAGACAGACAGACAGACGCACACCCACGCCCTGGTCCTGCAGACAGACAGACACCCACGCCCTGGTCCTGCAGACAGACAGACAGGCAGACAGACACCCACCGCACGCCCCTGCTCCTCCTCTCAGCACCTCTCCGAGCGGTGAATGACAACCGTCCGGGCAAGGACATGAATTCAAGCGTCTGGTCGTCAATTAAGGCTTTTTCCATCCGAGCCCTTTGGGGGAAATGCTTATTCTGGAATAAACGCTGTCTTTCCTAGGTGTAGTTTGTGTTGCTTAGGTCACGCTTGAAACCAAGGGCAAAGCTGAGAACCGTGTCCCACCATTAATCCAGATGTTGCTCCAGGTAGGTAAGCACCTCCTGCATACGTACACGCAAAACGCGCAAACCCCAACGGCATCGCTATCCCTGACAGCGCCCGAGACAACCTACACCGAACTAGAAAACACAATGACATTCCAGAGAGCAAACGCACAAGAAATTCACAACAGGGCACTTAAACTTGTATTCACACCATAAGCTAATACCATCACGCGTATTTAACCAGAAAATCCTCGTGGATGCATACAAGGCGAAGATGTCATAACAGGATACTGGTATCTTGTTATTTGTCAAGAGCTTTTTACTCACTTGACATGCTGGAAAACACGTTCCCGTGGTATGTGGAAGCTCATTCTCTGACCCGGATACCAGACTGCTCCACTGCCACGGCTCAGGACAGGCCCAACGCCACGGGAATTGGTCTTTGAACTGATCAGACCAGTAAGAGTCTGGAGTGAGGCTCTTCAGCAATTAAAGTCCTTTTGTCAAAAATGAAAGCATGCAACTGGCATCCTTACAAACGTTAAGTCCACACGCTGAATTCAACTGATACCAACGAACCCAAGGTTTCAGTTAACCTAAGCTAAACATTTATTATTCTGTGGGATGCCTAATGAAAACGAATTGCGGCCAAAGGGCTAGATCTCAAAGCAATCACGCTACAACACTGGGGATTTTAGCTGACCTCTAAGTAGAAAAAAACATTTTATGATACACTTGTGTTGGTCAAAAATCTGTGCTGGACAACAGCATGACTTGGCAGATTTTTAGTCTGCCTTGTGCAAAAGCCTGAAAACAAAAACTTGGTTTTTCCCACCCTATCTTAAACCCAAACAAGATCCCTTTACTATTGTCCTTCATTTTCATTGTAATTTATGGCATTTCTACTCATGGCAATTGAAGTACTAGAACTGTAGCTAGGAAACATAAACTTTGAATTAAATTTAGGAAAGGGCATTGTGGTTATACAAAAAACAAGCTATGATTGAATTACTGCTGGAGAAATGATCTCCTATCTTTCCAAAGGAGAGAATGATTTACATACCAATTGATTCAAATAGTATTTCTGGATCCTTAGGCATAAATAGACACATTATAAACATCCTCAAGAAAACAACATACATTGAACTTTAAATATATCTCAGATATATAAAAACAAGGTGGCATTGGAAATTGTGAGACTGACCAAAACAACATCTGGTTGCTGAAATTTCAAAACACAAGATGCACCGCCAAATCAAAAACTCCTCAATGTTTAGATTTTTATTAAAAGTACAAGCTTAACTCCTGTACAGCTGACAGGTATTTCTGTAGAAGAGAGACATTGTTTTTTTCCTTTAACTGACATTCTGTTGTTTCCCCAAAGCTGAGAGTAGTAACTCCATTCAAAGTTCATGCCAACTTAGTCCTGCTTGCTTAAAACACCCAAGCCCAAATGAGCAATATCTCAAGTTAATTCCCTTAAGCACCCCTGCACCAGAAGCCAAACCCAAGTGGCCAACAAAGGGTGTAAACTGCAACTGGAAGGTAAGTGGGCTGGAGATACACCTGCCTGCTACCCCAGCTCTCTGGCCAAGAGCACAACCAGCCTACCGAGAAGAACCACTTCTAAAAGACATTAAAACATGTGGTTCGGATGGCTGAGGTCTGTGAGAGATTGAAAATATTTCTGTATTGTAGAGACTTCTCCCACTCTATACTGTGAGACAATGCAACCTCATCTAAGACTATTAAAAGGTATTCAAGAAATCATTCAAAGTTACAACGAGAACTCTTGGGAAAACTACTGCTTGTAAAAGATAATTAAACTTTTATCACCACATGATCAAAACTAATCAAACAAGGGATCTAGAGGTTCAGACAGACTGACAGCAAGGCTACATCATACTTCTTATACCGTGGTTCACAGACGTATGTTAGGTTTAATTTCAGTTGATCGTACACAATCGTGGCCCTTTGTACTCCTGAAAATTAAATGTATTCTTCTTAATTTATATGAACATATGGAAATGTCATTGTGATACAAGTGGAAAATAAGTGTTCACCACCCACAGCTAAAGTACTGTTACATTTTATGCCACTGATGAAGCAACACATTCAGTCAAATAATGGTAGTGACATTTTAATCTATTTCTTCATTAGAAACTAGTATCATTTGCACCAAGACAGATGAATAGATTTGGTAGAACTTCTGTGTACTGTAATCCTCTGCTCATGGAGACAAAAAAGTGGGAAGATTAGAAAATAGGTAACAAGTGTCCTGCTATAAGAAGAACTGGAACAAATTAATCTCTTACCAGGTCTACAATTTCTACCAGAAACGGTGACCCCAGGGTAACATCCCAGGATACTCCTTCTGCCACTGGATTATCTTTATTTTATTTTATTTGTGCCACAAGATGTCCCTCTCACATTGTAATGTTCTTAATATAGTGTATTTATCTGGTACAACAGTTCACTTTTTTTCCTTTCGACATTGTTTCCTCCCACACAGACCTATATCCTTATTTTTTCCTCAATACTGTAAATGTCGGGTTCTTAAAATTTTGGTATCATGAAGTACTTCTCCACTGAGAAATCGCCACTGATCTGAGAGATTCAGTAATTGCATTAACACTTTTTAAAAACCTTGTCTGAAAAGTGGCTATTGTCTATTTTGCTTTGTATCATGATTTTTTTTTTTTTTTTTTAACCTGTGTGGCTCACTTTACATGTTTTCTACTCAACAATACTTTCCATCCACCTATGAGCGTCAAAAACATGAAGTATTTTTCCTGCAGGTGTCCATTAATACCTGGAGCAAGTCCCGATGTCTGTTTTTCTACCTTTCAGTGGCTGGAAGCTTGAAGATTAACAGCCGTAACCATGATTGCCAAAGTCCTACCAGGAACAGATGCCTCTCAAAGGGACTGTCTAGATCGTTTTACCTAGAGTTTGCTTTCTGTCCCCAGTAGGGACATGACCTTAATTCACTGGGCTGGCTTTCATCCACGCTCCCCACCACGAGCACAGCAATCTGGAGTTACTAAAAGCTTTATTACTGCACACAGATGGTGTGCAAATTCTCAAAAGTAATTTGTGGAAGCACCACAATGGTGAAGCTTAGACACTACCGCAATAACAAAAGCACAGAGTACAAAAAGCCAGCTACTATTTATCAAAGAAGTAAAGAGAAAATAATTAATAAATACAGTCATGATGACTAGAACGCAACAAGCACGTCTTGAGGCACCAATGCGACACAATTTTTAATGTACAAGTCAGATTCAGGAAGAGACCTAGACACAGCCTTCACTGGTAGAACACAATAGAAGACATTTCCTTTTCAATCATTCAGTAGCCACACATCAACATTGAGCAAAAAACTACCCTTGCAGCAGTTAATTTGCAAAAGAAAGCAAAAAACACAGATTCACCAGGCACCAGGGGCCAGAACTGCACAGAAAAGCAAACACCAGAAGAAATACTGGGGCGCCTGCATCCAACACCCTGTGCACAAGGGGGAGAAAAAAAAAAAAAAAAGTATCTCTGAAAGAGGCCAGAAGCTTTTGAAGCAGCTGTCAACACAGATCCTTATTAATTTGGGACTGTGCTGCCGCATGGGGTCATGAAAATGACAGAAATCAAATGCAGCTACAGGAACAGAGGTCAACATTAAGAGAGAAGGGGCACTGGATTTTGAGTACTCAAACAGGCTTACTGCATCTCACTACTTCCACTGAAGAGCAAAGGTTTTACATCAAGTCCTTGTGCTTCTGCACTACACCACAGCAGTTATTCTCAGATAAACCATTTTCAGTGCATGGTAATGCAAATAACTGCGTGCTTGCCAGATAAGAATTTGTATTAGTGACATGCAAAACACGGCGAAGCATTACGAGGATGGTAAAGCGATGTATTATAAGGCACCCTTGCCTTCACAAAATCAACAAATTTATTTTTTCCCAGACACATTTTTCTCCTGTACATTGCTGCATATTGACTGTAACTGAGCTGCTATTTTAAAAGCAGTAAGAATTAGTCACATTCCAACTCCAAAATTATCAAGTAATCTATGAATGCAATGAAAATAAAAAATTAAGGCCAAAGTGCAGTCCAGCATTATTATACTGTTAGTATATACTATATACGATGGGTCTGCAAACATTCTCTTCCTGGGTCCTGAATTCATGTTCTCATCAGCCTCCCAAACAAACCTTGCATTCTTTGCCTATTCTTATCTTTAGTACTTCCTCACAGCCACTGATAACCTTTTTTGAAACCTTACACTTCTTCCACTGCCTGCAAATTGAAGAAATGGCAGCTCCACCGTGAACCAACCAAACATTTTTGCTCTCAAAGCACCAACCTTTGTCCATTCTACAGGAACAGTCCCAGCCCATTTTCATATTTAAGTCAGAACAAGGCAAACAGCCACAGCTGTGGTCTAATACGGCACTTCCAGATTACAGGAGACTTCACTTTCATTTGCTCGAGCTGGTTATTGTAGCATGCTGGTAGTATACTACAGACCTCATATGACTACAGCTGAGCCTGAAAATGGTCATTCAGTACTCATTTTCTTTCATTGTTTAACTTCTTAACTAGTTTCCACGCTGAATGACCACTGCAGGTATAGCCAGTCCTTTTGCTGCAGAACACAGTGCTGGATCAGCCCACTCTGCCTTTTACTTGCACTCTAGGGATGCTTCCAACACATTAGATCCAGGTTATTTCCTTCATCTCTGCCAAGTGTAAATGAGTGGAAAGGTTCACAGATTTAAAAATGAAATGTTACACTGTTCCTTTCTAGTTCACAAAGATAGTAGCAGTACATGTCACCAACTGTGCCACAAAGATATCATCTTTTCCATTCTGATACCAAAACATTGAAACAGAGAAACAAGTGACACTGTCAGCTACTCACTAGGCAATTAAAATAACACAACAGGATAACTGTGATACACTCCTTGCCAGACCACTCAACCTCCATGTTATTTGTATGATTTATTCACCATAAAATCCAAGTTATAGCTCTACAACGCATGTTCCAATATTAAGGAATTCAGATCAAGTTTCTTCAATAAGTATGTGAAAGTATTTATGGCAGAACATTTTTAGCTAATCTAACATGATTCATTCAAACCACGTAGGATCCTTCCTGCGTGATTCCAGCAGAAACTGAATTTAATTTCAGAAGCCCTCTTGCCCTCAGAATAAGGTCTTTAATTGCTCCTTGCGAATCTGTGCCATCAGAACATAGATATACAAAGGCTGATTCAGTTGTTTTGCCTTTTTAACTAGTGAATAATTAATTTCTCTTATATATGTACTAAAGTTGCATCATTAATAATTTCTAATATAGTCCTTCTAGACTTGCATGTTTGATGAAGGCAGTAAAATACAATGTATCTATACAGACAATGGTCAAATCCAAATCAACACATCAGTTCTCTGAATAAGGAAGTGACATTTCATTTTGTGACCCATTTTTTACTCAAGAACCTTGAGAAACACCAAATCATGTCTGCATATATGAATTCTTATTTTCTTTTTACACATTACTGAGGTCAGTATTCAAGATGAGAAGTTAAAAAACTGCTGTCTAGTGCAAAAATGTCCAAAGTGTTCTGTTTTTTCTATCAAAAAAGGCAGCGATTTCAACTAGCGTTGGATTTTTAGCATAAATGTTAAGACAATACAGCGAAATTCAGCTTTCATTCAGGAAAGCCAAACAAGCAAAGGAAATGAGCTCCCTGAATCTCTGTCAATTATGAAAGCAATTAATAGAATACTAATTTTTTTACAAACTAACTCAGAACTCATCTGAGTGAAACAGAAGTAGGACTATTAAAAAGAAGGCACTAAAGATAATGCCACAACTAGCACCGCATGTTAGGGGTTTTTGTTGGAGGGAGGACTGAACTGTACTCACTAGTTGATACACTACATACAGATACACTCGTGAACCTTTAAGCAAGAGGGTACACACAGTCTCTGTATTTCCATTCCTTAAGAGATGGGGGGGCGGGGAGGAAATGAAAAAAAGCATTCTACCTTTGTGATGAGAATTCGGTACTTCTCCACCAGGTGATCGTTATTATGACACCCTGCCAGCAACTGCCACACTTCTCCTCTTAGGGCCTCAGGGACACCACTTCTCACCAATGCTGACAATGTCTTTGGCCTCACACTCAAATTGAGGTGCCTGGGTGTAGATGAAGGCATTGTTACTATTATCCAAATACAAATAAATGAGTACATGAGCAACAACTGATGTGTAACATCAAACATGTCAAATGACAGGAATTTCAAGACAGTCCATACGTTGCCAGAGTAAGTGAAATTCAAGTTATGAAAAACAACAGATTTGGAAAAGCGCTTTCCAAACTATTTCCTTGATTTCCATTAAATTTAAATATAATATAAATATATAAAATACTCAACAAACCAAAACACTCCAGCAAAAACTAGAACTGGAGGACAGACAGCACACCATACGATTCCAAGCTCAGAGGATTACACCAAAACAAGAATTAGTTTGCAGAAGCATATACTGCTCTCTAGACTTCCTACACCCAAGCAGGCAGGTAACCTTCTAGGTGAGGGAGGGAGAGAAGGCAGGCAAACAGAGCTATTAAAAAAAAAAATCTCACATGGTTATCTATCTACATCCATGCATTTAAGCAGCTTCCACTGTACAAGCTAGTCCCATCTAAACAGTTTTTTCAAGTGAGACCGGTGACAGCTCATAAATTACAGCACTGCAAGTTGTAAAAACTAAACCTACACATAATTTATGCAGCTACAGAAAGTTAAGCTGAACAGTCCATTCGTGGCTTATACATAAAATCCCCCAAAGACAGAGGCCTTAAATCAAAGAAATTACAATTTTTCTGCAGTTACTAAAAAACAAGCTTCTAGATAAAATGATTAAGAAGACTGATAGACAAAGCCAGGCAAAAAGCCTGAACTTATGTCATATTGATCGCATTATCTTCTTAACAATACACTGGTAGTTAATAATGTTTGTTAACAGTCTAACAGATAGGTGGATGATGATTTTACACAGACTGGGACTCCTTGTTGCCCTTCTCCAGCCTACAGTGTTCCAACACAGTAATCTGGAGACGAGCAATGCGGACATTTAAATCAGTATATATTGCACAGAACCTACGACCATAATGTCTTCCTTCGCTTTGCTTTCTCTAAACAAAATCAACTATAATAAAAATAATACTTATATAAGAGTTACATTTGTATCTACATACAGTCATATCTATAGACTTATATATCATATATTTATAGAGCATTTATTATACCTTTATAATATATAAATATTTATATATATATTATATAAAATACTTGTTATATTCAAAATACTCGAATTCTTTGTAAAGTCCTATACAACTGCTTTGCCTTAATCTTGGATCAGAATAAGTACAACATTAGTTCCAATGAATACAGCCATGAACTGTAAGGCTGTAGACTAAAAGCCACACACTACGAGATTCTTCCAAAGTATTTGAAATGAGAAAGTTGTGTGACTCAGCAGTTACGAATTATGAGCCAAATATTATTTGGAAATCACAAAATACCAATGCATATTTAATTACTACACAAATCTAATTACAGGATTCTACAAAACTAGCATGAAACTACCTGAAATCTGATTTTTATGATTTTCAATCCTCTTATGTTAAAAGCTCAAGGATCATCACTTCCAAATACTCGTTTTTAGTTAAGAAGGAAAGCCCTTTAACACATATTAAAGTTGTTGCCAGCATTAGCACAGAAGCACTTCATATCCTCTTAGAGCTGCCAAAACATTTTCAATAGGAGTCAGGTGGCTTAATTATCTTTGAGTCCTTGGAAGAATTACAAAAAAATTCAAGTTGAAAGAAACCTTCTCACAGCAGCAGATGCATAGAGCTCATCTGTTAAAGATGTTTCTACAAGTCTAGGAGAGGGAGGGAAAAGGGATCATATATCATTTTACCATAGCCTTCCCCTTCTTACGAATGTGTCCATTTCTGATGTCCGCTATCTTACCAAGTTAGTGCAATACATTAGTGCAAAACCAAACTGGAAGTAAAAGTACTTACTCAAATAAGTACTAAGTAATTGCAGAAAATAAAAAAATAATGCTAAATGGTTACAACCTTAATTTAAAGAGAATCCTGGCTAAGTGGTCACATCAATACTTTTCCTCAGCTAAAGTGCATGACTTATTCTAATCTCTGCTGTCCTACTCCTTAGATCTAACATTCTATACAGATCTTTGATTTGCTGTACATCCCTTGCGCTGCACCTCTAACATTAGGAAGCAGAAGGCAACAACCAAAGCCAGAGTCAAAATGTAGCATATTTGAGCTCAATCTGATGTTGTGCCTGTCATCCCCCTTTGTGGAAAAAAAAACCCCAAAACTGAATTTTGCAACAATCGGCATCACTTTCTTCTAACTGCTCAGGCTACTTCAAGATGAATAAAAGATCCTTCATGAAAGGAGGACAGGTGTTGCATTAGCAACATGACTGTCAAGAAACACTCTTCTTGTAAACTGGCATTTTCTAGGAAAAAAAACCAGAAGAGCTCATGCACTTCCTTCTTGGCAGGCTCTGGAGCCATCTTCCTTTAGACAACGGAGGAAAAGCATCTTCGCTATCCAAGTACAAATCTCCCATATTCTTAAGCTACAGTTACTAAGATATGACAGCTGCAAGAAAAATTGGCTGTGAACTACATCAGAATTACAAAGAGGAATGGAAGTGATCTATGCAAAATAAAGACAAAGGGCTGTATTTTCTTTATACTACTTAGTTTAGGTTTTTCTTTAATAAAATCCCAGTGAAACTCACAGATAGCCAAAATACACATGCTAAGAGAGAACCACCTAAAGACACAGCACAAGTGAATTTCTACACAGTATTTAAGCATGCACTCAGAAATGAAAATACTTAAAACACCCTCTGAAGAAATCAGAAAACACAAAGCCAGAGAATAAGGGGTGTTGTGGGGATGATAGAGGACTAAATTCATACTAATCTCATCTCAACTGGCTTCCGGAAATAACAAAAACTCCAAGCAGAAGGAGCAAACAGAATGAGAGTATTCAGAATTGTAATTTTCAGAATGTGATTTTGCCACTTACCATTTGGACAGCAGCTCTCCCCACGTCTCAAGAATTTTTTCTGCACACTCTTTGGAAACATCTCCAGAACCACTTAAAAGTGGTTCGTCGTTGTCTGCCAACAGAATAGAGGAGATGCTATGAGATCAACAGCCATTACTCTACCTTTACAGATTTAAATGTCGCTCTCTTAACCGTATCAGCGTGTGGCACAAGAACTCCCTCTCATTTGCGGTGCAGTGCTTGGGCGCTCAACGCAGAGAAGGCAGAAGTATACTCTTCTCAGAGGCGCGCAGTGATGTAACACGAGGCAGAAGACAAGCAGCAACATGTGAAATTCTGGTTAAAAATCAGGAAAACAATTTACCATGAGGGTGGCCAAACTGATAAAAGGGCCCAGAGAGGTTGTGGAACCTTCATCATTGGAGACTGTCAAAACACAACAGGACAAGGCCTTGAACAATCTAGCTGGCTGGATTCACACTGAGTGGGAGGCACAATTACTCCAGAGGTCCCTTCCCACTGAAGTAATTCTATTCTTCTACCTCAAACTTTTGGAAGGCTACAAAAATTCTCAAAGAGCACAACTTTCTGTATGTGAAAAGCTACAATACTGTAAAAGCAAAAAAGACAATAAAATCAACATGGTTCCACCAAGCAGCTGCAGACTTGGCATGTTGTTGCAGATCCATGAAAGTCCACGTGGTATTTTACTTTTAAATGTTTTGTACTTTTACTTCGAAAGCTACTACTCTTTGGTAACTTCCTTGGCTTAAATTAAACAGCTTTTTGAATGAAACACATTAAATGCGGTGGAGGGGGAGGATTAGCATAATCACAGTAACTCTTTTTGAAACCAATACTAACTGATGTACTCCCAGATATTTTTAAACACTTACAGCAAGTATCATATACAAAACCTACATTTCATTGATACAGTAGCCAACATTGGTTTTGCAGTAATGAGGAAATATATTCTTTTTCATTAAATCTATGCTTTCTGAACTGACACCTGAACTTGTCAGCAAACTCTTGCAACAATGCAAGTCATATCAACTGTAAACAAAATATAGGTATATTCCTGGTCTAGAAAAGAATACCACTGTGGTTTAGCGTAGTGGCTAGAGATTGCTAATGAATAACACTTTGCAAATGAGTTAATTTTCAAACCAGCTATCCCCTCCTTCCCCTCCCCACCAAGAAGGGAAATTAAAGCACAGAAGTGAAACAATTCACTCAAGGCCACATAGAAGGCCAGTGGAAAAAGTGAAAAAGCAGAAACCCAAGTCATCTACATTTCAGCTCAGAGCTGTAAGGCCAGATGTTTATATAGTCAGAACTAGTCCATATTTTGGTTTAAGAGAATTTTTTAAAAGCAGAAAAAAGATCTTGAAAAAGCATTAAGTTTCAAGCTGGGCAGGTCCTGGTATAGTTTTATGTATTACAGATGTCTATACCCGCCCCTTCACTAAAATATGCTGCTTGCTTTTATTTCCAAATAATATCACCTTCTCATTTGTACTCTCAAATCTGTTCACAGCTGCTCGAGGAGGGGCAGAAGCTACATGATAATCCCACATTTTTAGCAGCCTCTTTTCACATTGTTCCAAATATATCATACTGGGGGCTTCAAGAGGCCTGGGCTGAGAAAAGTAGAGACACAAAAGTGTCACACAAGGGAGAGGCTGATCCAGAATGCGAGGGTACTGGTTATCGAATACTCACAGCATTAAAGCAAGGAAAAAAAAAAAAAAAATTTAGTAGGCCAGATTCTGACTGGAAAGGATTTGACATGTTTCATAACTATGTTATTTATCAACTGCCCATTCTTTCCAAGTATACAAAGCATACAATCCACTTCTTACCTTCCTCTTCATCATCCTCTGGAGGAGAAGGAATCATCGAGCCCTGTGACCCAGACTGGGGCAGACGAAGAGAGGGGCTTGCTGTAGTTTTTCTTCTCTCCCTTTCTGACTCACTTTCTAGGCACACAACTTCATATAACGTGTCCGAGTTATTCTTTCTGTCCTTTTGCTTTATCTAGGAAACAAGTTTCATTTTACTGAGAAAAGCTATACAAATGCCTAGATTAATTCATAAGGTTCTACCTTCTCTTTTTGGAATAGGGGAGCTGAGAAGCAATTTTCATCACATGCTACAGTGAGGAATGTTCAACCCTTGCAGCACACTTAATGCATAGTACAGGCCTGCAAGTGTTTCTACCCCTAATGCCCTAGAAAAATCTGTAAGCATACTGCACCCAAAAGGAACAAGTATCTGTAACAGATAGAGCAGAAGTGACGTTGGGGTCTGCCATGCATAGGTAGCTCATCTTTTCAACTGTAAGTGGACTGGACACAAATGCATAGATCTTTAAAGCTGTAAATGCATCTGTCCAACAAACGGTCTAAGAGAGGAAGGTTCCTTAACACGAAGCAACTCTGCCTTTATTTAAAGATTAGTGGAAAATTAAAAACAAACCTTTAAAATTATGTGTAATTTATTTCTTTAACTTTCTGGGGATACTGATGGTGGCAAAAGGAGAGTTTTAATAAAAATTATTTGGATCTCTTTTCCCACCATGACAATTGTCTTTAGAGATGCTTCCAAGTCATGTATGTGTGTATACATTGCTGCAGGAACACAAATTGTTGAGTCCCAAAGTCTATTACATGGCTCTGTTTTGTCCTTAATTTTCAATGCTTTGATACCTTCCTTTCCTTTAAAGGAAGATTTTTCTTTGTGAAGTGGTTCTAAAATTTTAATACAGTCTAAGGATTTGGAACTTTTTTTTCATAAATGAATAAAAATAGAGAGTAGAAAAGGAAAGGTGAAGAAAAGAGGGAAATAAGATTTATAATTATACTCTACACTAAGCTCCTAGTGCTCAAGTTTATCCTTTGGAGTATTAAAAATGAAGAGAAATACATCAAAACTAAAAATGACTAAATCACTAAATGTAATCTGAGCAAATAAAATCCCTCTGCTTCCACCATTTCCGAATAAAGAAACACTGCCAAAGTAAGATAAGCCAATTCTACACAGCTGTATTTTTAATAGGCTAATCATGACTCCATAGAAATAGGTTTCCCTTCCAGGCTTATCAGGCAGTACATTCTATATTTGTTGCATCCACTATGAATTTTGATAATCTTCCATTAGTAAACACTGGAAGTTGGATAACCTGACAGTGCCTGTGGAAAAAAGAGAGTTAGCTAAGATAAGTCACAATGCCTGTGAATTTGCTAAGACAAAAGATACAGAATTAGCTAAGTAAGATAAGCTTCCTTTAAACTGCCAAATAGAAAAGGCACCTTTTGGAGGTTGTAGAATATTTATAGCCCAACAGCCTTAACTGTTCAACATTTCCATGCTCCACCTCAAAAATATCCTAAGTAAAAAGACTGATCTCATCCATGAAGAATTTTTCCACCTTAAATTTTGAAGGAAGTTCTAAAGGAAAGTTTCCAAAATGTTTATTCATATTTTACATAAAAAATACAACATACACAAAAAAGAATCCGTAGTGAACCTCATCTTTGTTACTACCAAGATGCCATTATTTGCGAGCACCTTAAGAAAAGTGCAAAAAGAACTAAAAGACTCGTTATTTAATTCAAAACCTCTTTAAAAAGAACACTTATCAAGAAATCAGGACTCCAACCTTGCTTTTTTGGGCTGCACCCAGAATTATAAAACCTTAAGAGAGGACATACATCCACATTGTTATTTGCTTCTATATATTTCCATTGCTTTAAACAGGACTTTAATTTCAGAACAATAATTTCTAAAGCAGGAGAACAGCTACTTCAAGTACATCATCTCTTTAGTGACTTGGACCTTCAACTTTCCAGCCTTATTTTGAGACTAAGTTATTGCCTTGTACTGCTATTATGAATATCCTGGACAGAAATAATCCTTTCCTTTTTAGTAGATAGGGTAAAAAAGTAAGTTGGAAAAAACAGTAAAAGTTTTTAACAAGTTCTGGGGATTTTTTTGTGGTTCCTTGGGTCTTTTTTTTCCCCCAGGGCAAACTTGGGGTATGTTTGAAATCTCTGCTTCCAACCATGTACAAGGGGGAAAACAGCCTTTCACAAAGAATAATTTTTTTTCTCATTTCAGGTGGATGTTTGCTCATCTAAAAAAAATAATAAAATATATTGGATTTGTATGATAAAATCAATTTAGTGACATATCAGATAGCATGTCACCAGGATTATATCAAAGCCTTTTTTTTCTCTTAACCCTTAATTTTACATACTTACCCTACTATACCCTTATGCAAGCAACTCTCAGCATAGCCCCTGTTTGCAGATAAATACTCTGTTCCTTTTATTTCTGTGGTTTGGCTGGAAAATCCGTAAGCCTCTATGTAACTTTGCAGCCTCATCAAAGCTATCAAAATTTGCTTTGGAATGAGAACATCCAGCTTTTAATGGGAACTTTAGATAGCCAGCAACAATTAGCATAATGAAGGATAGCTTTTCTAAAATTGAAGAGGTTTATTATACTACTATGATTCAGGAGTAAAATGCTGAAATATGAACGTTATATTAGTAAAGATTTTACCAATCATAGGGAGAAAAAGCCACAGTGAAATTCTGATCTGCCAACAGGCACTAATAACTACAATTTATCTTTACCTTCAGTGCATTTGCATTTATTCAGCATTGTACCATAAACCTACCTCTCAAGTCTTGAAACAATATAACTGACTGTGCCACAGTTATATTTGAAAAACAACCTTGCCAAATCCCAAATTAACTGTAGATTTTATTTATTTATTTTTTAATAAATACCTGTTTCAATTTTAGAAAGAAATTTTCAGTAGAGCTACGTTTGCTGAAGGGCCAGAACAATCTCTCGTTAGGTGAGCAAACTCTGACTTTAGTCTCCAGAATGAATCGAACAGGTTCCTGAACCTCAGTTATCACCAAATCCACAGCGGTAGTCATGAACAGTACTTTATCTAGAGAGAAAAATCAAAGCAATAGTATTAAAAGAAATATTTCAAACAAAATATTCCATAACCTCTTTCCTAGTAACATGAAAGAACAAATGAAACTTTTTTGCAGAATTCAATTTTTTCCCTAATGTAACATCTCAAAACCCTAGAAGTTTCAAAATACGAAAATAAGATGACTATGCACTATCCACTAGAGAGTAAGGAAACTTAAGTCTTCAAGCCAAGAAAATGTTCTTGTTAAAGAGAATAAAAATTTTGCTTTTCAAGATCCCACTGAAAAGTATCAAAAATCTTCATTAAACATTATAAAGGATCTGTATACTTAACTCCACAGTGAAGATCTCTTGCCATCTAGCCTAATTACATTTTAGTTGGGTTTTGTTACTTAAGTCCCACCACATTAAAGGTAGCATTTAAGACCATCTCAGCTGTGAGATTCAGAAAATTGACTATACAGTATGATGCTCCAAACGGAGGCAACTGGACTCAGTGACCTATCAGATCTCTTCTGGTACTAAATGATAAATTGTGTCCTTTAGGTAGGATGGCATTCAATCTAGCAGCAGACTGCACCCACCTGCACCCAGCAGCAGACTTTTGTGACTTTGCCCAGTCAATTTCTATTAACTTCCCCAACCTTTGGCATACAACTGTGACAATAGATTGAAAAGATGATAATTCAGCTGACATCTTAAAAGAAGTAATGACAGATCTGTTTCAGGACTGAAGAGAGCAATGCAGCATCAGCTATTTTCAGATTACAGTTGGGAGTGTTTTACTTTCATTTTCATAGGTACAGGAATCCTTCTTTTTTAATTAAAAACTTGGATTCAGAAAAATCTGAGCTGACCACAGAAACTAAGCAAAGAAGAGACCTGCAATAGCCATTTAGTGCAATTCTCAATGGGATTCTTAAGAAGCTCTAATTGTGCACAAAGCATCTGCATCCTGTCCCCAACCTACACAGCCTCCTACTGGGATACAGTCATTCTTACAAGGTATTTTTACTGAACGCAGGAGCTTTCTTCTAGCCTTCTATTTTGTTTAGATGTTTATGTTACATCTGGCATCCTACTTTCTGAGAATATATCCCATACTATGAAGGTCTTTTTGTAGGATTCATCTTAAAAGAAAAGAGAATTGATCCAATGCCCACTATGTAAGTCATTCGCCCTGGCTAGGGATAACATCTGGCAAAGTTCATACCTTTTGGTGTTTCTTCATTTACAAACTGGAAGTGTGGAGATTTTTGATTCCAGCTCCCAGTGATCACGTATGATTTCCCATCAGAACTTTTACCCATGGACTCCTGGAAACAAGGTAAGTTTATGTATTTTTATTTAAATTAAAGAAATCTCTACATTATGAAGTCTCAGCCCCATAAAACAGCTACTACACTGGCAAGAGAAGGGCAAGCGTCTGAAGTCCATGTGACACAGTCCTGTAACAGAGATCATCTCTGAAGAAAAGAATAGAGTTCCCATGCAATCTTTGGTGTCCTTGCTGATAGCATAAAAATGCCAAATAATACTAATTGTTATATATGTATGTGGTATGAATGTCTGTCTAGTGAGACCTGAAGACCAATAGCTCATTTTGGAGGTGGCCATTTGACAGCAATTTTCAGCTCACACAGGTGTAGGTGAGATCACAGCCAAGTACTTGGAAAGACAGGACTCCAAGCTGCAGAAGCTTTGCTTTTTTGTTGCTGTTTGGGAAAAAAAAAAAAAAAAACCCAAAACCCAAAGCCACACACAAAACAAAAAAAAACCACCAAAAAAACCCCACCCAACCCCAAACCACAAAACCCCACTAAAACCAGAAAAAACAAACCAAAAAAAGAGAAACACCTGCCTGAGTGGTAAAGCATTTAAACATATAAGGCTTTAATCATAAACTTCGGGGATGTAGTTCATTGCCTCTAATACAAGAAAACAAACTAAATCAGAACGCTCTCTTACAAACTGCTGAACCTGTAAACTTGGCATATGTTTCACATTAACATACCTTCTACTTCACTATGTTTTAATACACCAGATGTTTTATTTTATCCCAAGTAGTTATTTTATATAATAAATTTTACTCTAAAATATCCTGAGATCCAGCTTTATTCAGCAAACAAAACACAAGTTATTCAGCTATTAAGAACCAAGTCAATATTTTATCTTTAGGGTTCAGTGTGTCTGTCTACCTACCAGCCTTATTTTCTGGGCCCGATAAAAAGCAAAATTATTCATGTAGTATTGGACCTTTTTGGGTACTCACTACTGTAACAAGCATGTACTTCATAAATACTAGCAAGTTTGTTTTCACAACACACTTGTGAGGTCAGATGATGTCTTTCATCATTTTATAGATGGAGAAGTGAGTCATAAAAGTGCCCACTAATTCTCAGTGTTATGTTTGAAGCCGCTTAAGCCTCAATTTTTACAGTGATAAGTATGCTATAAAACTTTTTATGTTCAAAGCACAGCTCTTTAATACTCAGCGCTTCCAAAAATAAGGCTCCATTTTTCTTATTTCAGGCCCCTAACTGACAACAGTCATGACAGACTGCAAAATTGGGCAACTCCCTTGACCAAGCATCAGGTCATGTTCTACCTCTGTAGGAGGCAGGAATTCAACCCAGTTTCCCAGGGCCTCAACCTCAATAGCATAAGCAACAGCATCAATCCCCACCAACAAGTGTATATAAGCATCTAAATCTTTTCTGTCTATCCGGAGATCACACACAATCGTTATCAAAATTATTACTGAATTTTGTTAAGATCCTTACCAAATCTAAAAGGTGCATGTCACCGCTCCGAACATCTTTCCCACGGCTAAGGAGAAGGCCAAAACATCTGCAAAACCAGGCAAAAAATTAAATGGCAAAATTTAGACTTACTCATAAACAAACCACTAACATTCCTTACCTAAATATTTGCTGTCATACATCACAAGCAGCCCATGAATCCAATAACAAATGTCAACAAACCTTGACATTTGAAAGCAGCATCAAGTATGTCAAGCAAAACAATGTCAAGCCAATATTAAGTGTCAAGCAAGATTTCATAAGCATATTTAGAATATGATTTTACCCTGCCTACAGTAGCCTGGAAAGTTGTTCAATTATCTTTGTTTACAAGACAGTGTAATATAGACACTGCTAACAAGGGTTCCTTATCCCACAGGACAACTTAGACTGCATTCTTCTTCCCTTCTTTTCTTTTTTTGAGACATATTTGCATAGAATTTACCCTTTGATACAGACAAGAATCAAGAAATTCCAAATAAAGTGCAACGACTTGTCTTTTATGTTTTCATTTTGCAAAGACTTTTGGCCCACACAGGTATATTCCACTTCATCCTCTGCTTTACCACACTGTCCCGCATTTCATTTCAGACTGCAAAGGCTGGCAGAAGCTGCATCTTTTCTCTGTAGTATGAGCAGCACTAAACTTCATCAATAGTTAAAAACTGCTAGTTTATTTCTAAGCAGTGGAAGATTTGAAGTCTGAGCTCCCCCCTTCCCTCAGAGACACTTCATATTCTAGAATTCCAGACTGTGGCAGCTTCAAAGCGTACATACAACAATATTGTCAGATGCAACAGAGATTAAATGAAAGCAGATTGAAATAACTCAGTCACTGATTATAGCCTCAGCATTTAAGACAAACTGGCCACTGAAAATAAAAGCAGTATGTTTTTTAAAAAAGATTTTTAAATGGGTATTTAGAGGGGATGCAACCACTGATTCCACAGCCAGATCTGTGCAAGATCGGACTGCGCCTGTATTGTGCCCCCTGCCACACACATGCTGAAACAAGTCAATGTGATCTTCTGCACAATCCCACTTGACAGAGGTGTGGCACTGAATTACACAAATGGAGTATTAATAGAACAATTACTAATCTGCTGCCTCAGAGGAAAGAACACAAAACATCAAAACAGATAAAGAATTTTTTAAAAATTTATGAAATTACCTCTCAATAGCAAGTTCTTTATTAGTTGTCTGTTGGACGTAAATCACTATCTTCTTATCAATTCCTTGGCGGAGTTTAAAGCATTGCCTGTCCTTGTCTTTGGGAACCGCACTGTTATTTACCAGGAAAGGAAAAAAAAAAAACAAAACAACAAACCTCAGAGCGTCATTTATCTGTATTCCTTGCATGTATCAAAACCAGCAAGAGACACTTGGTGAAGCCAGCTTTTTACACAAAAGCACTCAAGACCTTTCTTCCTTGCACACTGCAATCATTAACATGAAAGAAATGGTAACATGATTACGTGATGTTATTTTACCATCATTAGGTGAAAACCAAGGACACTTAGTTTGCAGAATAAAACCCATGATTTTATACTGTGTGGCTTAGTGTTGTTAGACTTCCATCAGCATTTCAAGAAAGTTTCTAAATATTGATTCCTCACGTAACATGCATGTATTATTTGTTAAGCAATTACTTATAAGAAACTGCATATTGCTTGCTTTCACAAGGGAGGTGATTGCTGGGGCACATGATAAGCCAACAAGCCAAGAAAGTGCACCAATCTTTAGACTATTTTCCTTATTTTTTCTCCAGAGCACCCCTTCTCCTAAATGCTGCAAAAAGAGGGGATAGTGTGGTGGAAAAACCTAGAATTACACTTCAATGCCAATACACACGCTAAAGTTTTACCATCAATATTCCCTGTTGAGCAGCACAGTTACATTAAATACTGGATAAATTGAGACTGTTGGGTTTTGACTTTCTTTTTAAGTCAATCGCATGTTCACTTTTCTCTTGGATATAAAAATAATCTTTATTTTATTTCAGACTTTCAAACCATGCATTGTTACCCCCAGAAGTTGCAAAATGGACGGTGGAGTATTGCCCATAGTTTAACACCTCAAACAAAACTTGGGTTTATTTTCTGACAGTGGGTGCTTACCCAGGCCAGGGAATAACAGACTGCCTTTAACTGTCAGCAGGAGTTTTGTCTCCAGGGTCAGGACAGTGGATTTACATACTTAGAGCCAGTACATGCCATCAGACCCCATTTCCCCAGCATGACAGAAATGCACTACTAGTGACCCAGAGTGACAAGTGAAGGTAGATGAGCCAAGACAGGGTCAGGTACTCAGAGACTGAGTACATGGAAAGCGTTCTCTCAACTTCCAGGTGAGTATGGGTCTGCACGCGAAGGGTCTTACGAGGATTAACATCAAACTGATAAAGTTTGCTATTTGAACTAAAACCTGTACTGTATGCCCAATGTAGGTAGGATTCTGCTTAGCTGGAGGCAAAAATCCACTTTTCTTCACCTTGTACAGAGTAGGTACATAGCTTTTAAACAAATGCCCTGTTCCACTCCTAATGCAGCTGTATTTTTGTGGCTGACAAGATCTTTAGATACATCTCCATAGCAAAGGCTGAGGTTCAGCCTACAGTCCATGCTGACATACCCGTGCTGGCTAGGACTGAAACAGTTCTTACCAGCACAGCTTCTGGAAACCACGTAAGCATCAAATCCTAGGCTGGCTTACACTACCCTGCACTGCTGTGGCTATGCTGACATTAGCACCAAGCCAGCAAGATTGAACTTCACCTGGCATATCCCCGTGTGCTGCAGCCACGATTCTGCCCGCCGTGCACCTCAGCAGCCGCTGCTGCATCCAAGCCTAAGAGCCGTCAGTATCTTTTCAGGCTCAGGCCCTAAGCTAAATCATTTTTCAGTTTCAACACTTGAGCAGTCCTTTGGAGTGCTGAATAACTACTGGATTATTAAATGGGATTTATTCACTCAATAAATAAAACTAGAGCTGGATTTAAAACCCAGAAGAGAAACATCTCTGAAGCTGTGGCTAGGAGCCAAAGTGCTCAACAAGTCAGAGTATTTGGCACACATGCTGTACTGAAATAAAGACACTCCAGCAATTACAGAACACTATAAATGGTTATATAAAACATCTAAAGGCACTGGGTATAGGCTAAGCAGAAAAATAACTTTTTAGCATAAACTAAAAAAGGTCTTTTTAGAAACCAAGGTTATCCACCATCAGACTTAACATGAAAACAGCATTAGCCAATACAATGTGAAAAGCTGCTCTAATACTCTCACCCTACACTACCACTTGCTAATAACCCCCGGTTCGGGGGGGGGGGGGAGAGGAAAAATTAAATTAAATTTTGAGAACTCAGTCAGAAAACAGAACCCGTTAGAAACAGAGGCAAGCTCTGTTAGTAAATCTTTTTTCATATTGATAAAGAAACACTACAGATCAGAACAGGTGAGTATTTTAATGAAACAGATCACAGCAAAACCAAGGAGAACTAATGATGATCTTTGAGAACAAAGCTGAATTCTGCCTTCTTTTCTGCTTTCAATAACTAATACAGAGGTCAATCCTAAGAAATCACAGGGAAATGGGTATAGATGAAGGATTTATCCTTCATATTCTTAAAATGCATAATGTAACTAGAAGTTGCAATCACAAGGGGGAAAATAAGGAAAGCTGGGTTTTCACTAGGCTAAAAATAACATCATGTCTACATAGGCAATGTCATTCAAGAAATTTACCTTTCCTGGGCAGCACTGGAAGATTTCAGCCTGAACTATGCAACTCCAGTAATTACCAAAGCACTATCATGTAAAGAGGAAGAAGCCCAGCATGTATGATTTGTTCTATTACACTCTGCTCTCAAACGTCGCTAGAGAATTCTCTCTGTTCAACATATTTTAAGAAAGATTAAATTGAATTTATCCCATTCATGGAGCAAAATCAAACCTAATGACCAAAGTTAAAATGCAAAGTGGTCTTTATGTTCCTATATAGTTACCTTCTGCCTCTACACAAACATCTTTCCTATGACTGTAAGTAAACAACTATTCAAGAAAGGGTTTTAAACAACATTGTTGAATTCTAGACACTTGCTGATCACAAATTCATAATCGTATGGTTGTTTTCTGATACTGGGTTGCATACAGAGCCATATCTCTGGAGCAAAAAAACACATTATGGACAACTACACCTTTATTTAGTTCTGGAACAGCAATGTGGGAACAAGTCTGAGATCTTGATCATCAAGCTCTCAGCTGATGAAGCAGTAATAACCCTGTACTAGGTCTTAAAAGTAAATGTATCTTGTGACAAACAGATTTGGCTGAATACTTCTCTGGAGAGTAACTTATCTTTTTGGGATCAGCAAAATTATATTAAAAATTTAGGTTTTCAGAGTTTCTAATTTTCTCTGCTTTCTTTCATGAGACTTTATTAAAAATATGCACCCTTATGCCTCCTGCACTAATTCACACATCCTCAGCACCTTTGAAAACCTGGCCGAAAACGTGCACAACTCTGGATATGAGAGCACAGTCACAATGATGCATTTTCAGCTTCAGCAGCAATTCAGCTGAAAACAACTTAAAACACATTGCACAGGAAAGGGTTTAAAGACAAAAGAAAAATACAAACTATGAGAAGCACTTTGCAGGTAGCACCAGGATCAGTTCAACAACAAAGATGAAATAGTCCAGAGGGACATCACTGTTTTACTTCCCAAAAATGTTTATGTCTGGGATTCATTTAAACTAGAACAGGAAACTTTCAAAAAGGGAATTTAGCGACCACCTCAGACTCACACTCTTTATTCACTCGCTTTCCAACAGAACCAGATGCTGCACACACAGGAATGAAGAATCTATACCTGAAATAACCTTTCCCATCATCTTCTTTGATTTCCAATGACACGGAGAAGGTGAAAATATCACTGTCTGGAGTCTGTGGGGTGGCAATGGCTGAGAGCGGAGTTTGTTTGGCAGAACGACGGAAGGCAGTGGCAAAGCTGTACAGTATTCGGCTCACCTGTGTTTAGACAGCACCAAAGAAAGATCAGAAAGCCACAGACATACAGAATGCATCGGCTGAAACCTACCTGAATTTTCACTAAAGAATAAAATGAGAAGTAACTGTACAAAAATAATTCAGCTTTAGCATCTAATTAACTGGTTTTCTACGCTTCTTAAAAGGATAAACTATTAAACATGCATTCTTATTTCATACCTAAGGTTTCTATAATTATCTTAACTTGGGGTAGAAAAAAGCCAAAAGTGATGAATTACATTACTTCTAACGTGCCTGAAATACTTCAATTTCATATCAGTAATAACATTTACATGTACATAATTATCATTTAACAAAAAGATTCAACTTACAGCCTCTTGGATTTCACATCGGAAGACATGAATCCTGAAGAGTTCTGCATTGTAGTGGCTTTCAGTGAAAGCAAAGCAATCACTTTCAGGGGTTCCATCATGCCCTCGTACACAGAAAAGGATTTTATAGATTGGATAATTTGCTATTTCTGTGTTCGTCTGAGGATCTAAAAGTCTGTTAAATGAGAGAAAGAGGAAAAAAACCCCAAAGCTTGCACCTTCAGAACAATTATTTCAGCCAGATATTAACTTGCAAGCTTTAACAATGTCATAGCTACAGACGAAAGTACATCACAAAGAAACTAGCTCCTGACTGTCATTTACTGCAAAACTTGACCAGAGTAATTATATATAAATTGAACAGCATAAAAAGGAACAATGCAACAGACATTTCCACCAATAATTTCCCCATAGTTTTCAGGGCTTAGCCTTCAAAAGCTACGCTAATACGCAGCAATGGATAGCCTCATCCCTGTTAAGCCTTGTGTATCAGCCATTTTCCAGCCCTACAAACTAAACACTTTCCAGGCTATTTCCAAAGTCTTCAGCAATAACCACTCCCACTATGGCTTTGGGGACACCTTGGATCATCATAGTATTTCATACTGATCCTTGAACGTAAAATGTCTTTGGCAAACAAATTCAAAGCATCACTTTTCTCAGATCTCTTTAAAACCCACATTTTCCACTAAACAAAATCCCAAGTTGCTCATGTCTCCTCCCAGGTAAACTGGTAGCTTGTTTCCTTTGCTAAAAGGAAATAAGATTAAATGTACACAGTCATGGAGTACACCTGAGCGAGCTTCATACCTCACTGTTCCTTCAGAGACATTAGGCACTGACAGAGTCACATCTAAAGAAATCTGGCACTGGCTTCGTAAGATGGACATCATTCTGAGGGCTTCCACTTCACTCCGGGGAGCATTCACAGAGGCACAACCTAAGTAGGTGAGCTTGCTAAACACCACGCTGTCCTCATCTGTCATAGGTGTAAAAGGGCTCAAATCCTCACAGTCTAGGGTGAGACACAAAGTGGAACATAAGAAGCAAGACAAGGTATATGTAAGAAAATTATCAGAGATTGACTCATCTCTAACTAAATGACAAAAGCAATCAAGAAACACATTATAGAAAGTCAGGTCAGGACAAAATACTATAGGAAAACCCTGCCTGAAAGTGAGCTGCTGATGGCAGAGAGCAACTCAGCTATCCCAACTCTACAACCAGTTCACTCAGAGGGCTTCTTTTAAATATAAGAGTACATTGATTTTCATTACAGCAATTAGATGCATAGACGAGCTAAAGAGACTAAAATTTTATACAGCCAGGTAAGAAATCAGAGTACCTCTCAAGGCTAGTACAGCAAGTGTCTTCAGAAGAGAGGACAGTTCAGCATATGTTAACTCTTGCATCACATAACCTGGCTTTTACTGCACTAGTTGATTAAAATGGGAGAAATGGGGAAAGGTTGGTGGACACACCTGTACATAAATTCTCCTTCCTTTCCCCATAAAAAGCTAGCTCATAAGATACCACCAGGCATTCCACATTTTCTTTCTAACCTCCCTCAGATGGTTTCACTGGCAAACTCATTTCTGGTTTCTGGAGTCCTGCCACCGACACTGGGTTAATGGTAGAGGATGCTGAAGCTTCAAGGACAACAGGTTCTTCCCCATCTCCATCAGTTCTAACTTCTTCTCCATGGTCCCGGTCACTTGACTGATCCTCCATGGGTGGGTCCATCAGCACGTCTTCAAGCTCCCTTTGCAGCTGCTGTTCGCTTCCATTCCCCACAATCTAAGAGCCACAAACAGAGTTGGGACACAAAAAAACTGTTTGAATGAAAAAAAAAAAACCAAACACACCCCTCAGGCACAGGGTCATTCATATGGCTTTTTCTGCCAACCAAAGCAGCAGTTAATAAATTTAACCTAGTTACAACTGTAAACACAAACTGCAATGTGCAAATGCTCACCAGTATGGGTTATATCCTCCCTACTTTAACAAATTAACAAGCTCAAAGCAGGAATTTTCTAGCACTGGAAAAAGTAAGGAGATTACTTTCAAACTAGTCTTTAATCACCAACTACAAAGACTAGCTTATGACAGAAGAAACTTACAGATGTCCACAGTACAGTGGTCTATAATAATTCTCAGAATAGTACCAGAAAGGGCCAAATATAATTAAATATGCTACGTGGTTCACGGGTAAGACAGCAAGTCTTCACAGAAGCGAAGAATCTGGAACAGGATTATGCCATCATGCTGAGGACAAGAGGTAGTGTTGTTTTATTTCCTAACACTCACCTACAGCCTGACTTTGCACTCATTGAAGTAAACATGAAAGCATGAAGCAACCTAAATGGTGCGAAATTAGGTTCTAAGCTAAAAAGAGAATGAAGACATTAATTTCAGGAAACTTAGATACTGTATCTAAGGAAACTCTTTGTCCATTCCTCTGCAATTAATAGGCAAGTGACTGATGCTTTACATAGTTTAGAAATTAAGCACAGAAATGGAGTTTACAGAAGTATTTTACCAGATGGCAGTCAGAGAAAGGTACTTGATTCCATCACTTCAGCTGCTGCTGGTTACTATTGTCTCAACTCTATGAGCTGGTTATTATCATCTCAACCCTACGAGCAGATATGCATTTCTATATCCTTACATCTCTGTAAGCTTACTGACTTAAGACGCTACATGCCAGCTAATAAAATCCAAATTGTGCAACTACCCCAAGTTCTTAAAAAGAGTGTAAAAGAAATCTTATTAAAGAAAATTTTCTTTTTTTTAAATCTGTAAAACAAGACAGTAAAGAAAGGAAGCGGTTAAAAACAGGAGGAAGAATACAGAGCAGACAGAAATCTGCCCATAACACAATCTCAGTATTGAAGCAAATTCCATCTGCCTCAAAAGTAGCATCTCACAGTAGAAAATTATATTATCTTGAAAGTACCTGAAGCAATGGCCAAGGTTCTCACATTTCAACAGTAAATAAATCAACCTGAAGTCCAGTTAAGATTGCTGAAATAACACTGGAACAGATAACAGAACACCTTCATGCACATGGATGAGCTTTGCAATGAATTAAATATACTATGAGCAAAACATCAGATGTCACTTAGATATTTGTATGTGCATTTCCACCAGGCATGTCTCGGGAGTAATTACAGCAAGATTAGAGGTTTCTCAGTCAAGTCAGAATTCTGACATATGGTCATTTCCATCGCATCCCCAAAGACGAACTTCTCAGTTCAGAGGGAAAAAGAAGAAACATGAAGTTTACTTACTGTCTTCTCTTTTACACTCAGACCTACAATCTCCAAATAATTATCTGTATCTGAAGCCTCTATCTATGTTGCATTAAAGGTGTAAATTGCATATTAGTTTTCTGGTGAAAAGTAACTATTTAATATACAAGAATATTAACAAAAGAACAGAAACTGGAATTACTCTAGAATAGAGCAGAATACAATTACTTTAAAAGAAGAAAAGTCCCAGATCCCGGTTCTTCAGAAGAAAGTAGGCAAAAAAATGAAATTCACAGGTAGAGGAAAAAAAAAACAAAACAACAAGCACACAAGATCCTAGAGGCAGGAGGGACATAAAAAGTAATAACCTGGTGACTGTTTTACTACAGAATCTAAACAACAACAACAAAAATCTGTCAGATGTTTATGCTCTTGAAACTTATGCTCAAACAGAAAGTAATTTTTAGGTATGGGTTAGAATACATTGATGTGCTAGCTAGGATCATCTGCCAGGAGCGGGACAGTAACTGCCTCACTCAGCTGTACATCCATAGAAGTATCAGTAACCTGTAACTAGTTACAGGAATTCACAGATTTGCATTTTCCTCCCAATAATTCTAGTATTCATTTGCATGATTCATGGAAGCAATGAAAAATCTTGCACAAGCATGTGGTCATCAAAGGCATAATCCTTTTAAGTATCAAGTTTATTATTCATGCCTTTGCAGGCGTTCGTCAGAAAGATGATGATGATGATGATGGAAGATGCACCATGTTACTTTACTGTACACAGTTTATATGTTTTGCAAGAAAATGTAATGAATCAATCATAATGTCCTGCCAGCCTTGTTAAAGCCTGTATATTAAAAAACCTAAAGTAACTTCTAGTTTACAGGACCTGTTTCTTATATAACTTGAAGTTAAAATTCATTCTGGCAAAAAACTGCATCTCATGCTTTTGCTCACAGTGATTAAACAAGCTTCAGTTTTGGGTTTTGGAAAGGAAGGTGAGGAATTTACATCCAGTGAGAATTAAATGTTGCAATGGTATTAACATAAAATGCACATTAAAAATGTTCTGTTCCATCAAGATTACAAGCCACAAAAGTCTGAACAGTGGTCTACTGTATTTGGTAAAATAATCATTATCAATAACTTGCATCTAGATACTACCCCATAAAACATGATCTTGAAAATAAAAGTTCCTAAAAATAGTAGCGACAGGTAAAACATGAGTCTAAGTTGTTTATGGTGTGACATGAAAAAGGCACATAAAAAGAAAAAAATCTGTCCCGTAAATATTCTAAAATCTCATCATGAAAATCTTAATTTAAAAAGTAATTTAAAAGAATCCCTCTAAGAAAGCCTTCCTTCTCAGCCCAGACTACCCTCAAAAAAGAATTCTAAAAGACACAGTAAATATACTTTTGGACTAGAGGAGCTCTGCTGTTCTCATAGCCCTAACAGTCAAGTGCAACAAACCAGCTGCCTGAGAAACAAGGCCTAAAATACAAACTACAACTAACTTCGTGTCAACCAATGTCTCTTATGCAACCGCATAAATTCACCATACCGTGGGAACAGCACAGATTAAGATGTAAACATGCTTGAAACTTTGCTGCAACCTAAAAAACCAGTAAGAGGCAGCATGACAGAGTGCAGCAGAACTAAGGGCAGAAGGGAAGAATAAACAAGGCGTACCTGACAAATGCTTCATGTAGGTTTGCTTGAGATAGAGGAAAGAAACCATTTGCCCTAATCATTGTTTTCTCCATTTCTCACAAAACTGAAAATTAATTTTACTTGACCTTTAAATAGGAGGTAGCGAACTCCCTTTACAGAAACACAGGGGATTTATTAGAACTGTAGTTTATTCCCTTCTCCTGACGCATATGCTGCTGGCCTCTGCTCTGAGAGGTCTCGTTGTACCGTGTAGTTCAAGAACTCCTGCTCTACAGTGTGCTCCAGAAACAAGGCTTTCATAAATCCAGTTCAGTCCCACTGGCAGCGAGCAAAAGCAGACCCAGAAACAATAATGGAAAGCAGAAACAGCTAGCCAATTATATTTCTGGAAAAAAATCATTGACAACCCCTTTTTAAATTGAACCAAGTATTTCAGCATAGACAAAAACCAAAACACATTTATGAATTACGACCAAGTGAAGAAAAATACGGTTCCTGATTGTACTCGGAAGAAGTATTTCTCTGTCTGGACTTGGAGAAAGAACAAAAACTAAAATGTGCATTAACGTCCACAGCACTATTACTTAAAACTATAGCATATCAACAAATTTGAAATGAGAGCCTTAGGTTTGATGTACAAATTTCACAGCCTATCATATTCAGCAAACACAAGCCTAAACTTCTAGCAGTACCCTCAGACTGCACTTAGCAAATGAAAGATCCTCAAACTGCTTTTCTAAAGAAACACAACACCAGAAAGACACGTGCTCAAACATGAACCCGAACCTATCTTCTGCTTTTCTTAGTGGGCACATCAAAGCAAATGGGTTTTGACATCTACAAACAAACAAACTTAGTTGTAAGTACAAAGCAATTAGTTCTCCCTGAAAAAACTCATTTGTTCCTATGAAATACATAACCTCCGTTCTCATGTTGCACTGTTAATATTAATCTTCCATATACTACTTAAACACTTTTAGATATCACGGTGACAGTACTTTTAACATATGTCTGACAACCTTCACAACTCCACTTATCCATGCACACCATAAACAGTTTAATAATACAGTAAAACTGGTTACTGAATGACTATTTGCAAGCTGAAAAAAAAGATACCAAGAACAGAGCCATATTCTAGGATAGTATGTCTCTTTTCTTGTAGAACAATAACAAAAGACAATTTCTGTTCTTAAGAACAGCTAAAAAGTCTTCCCATTTCCTCCTGCGCACTGACTACTTATCTAAGGTATAATGTTTCCATTAATCACTCAGATTGCAGCCAATAACTAAACAGCACATACTCTCAAGTGCCGGAATACTGAAAAGCTCAAGGTGAATCACTTTGTTCAAGGATTGTGCTCAGTCTTGGCACCAAATTCATAAAGAAGCTTATCTTTAAGACCTGCAAAGCTCTGTGACATTCAGTGCCAAATCAGGGAACAGCATAACTTTATTTTACAATTGTTAATGATCAGGAGGCAGCAGTGCTAACCTTCTTTTCTCATCAAGAGAGACAGCATATCTTTAGCCACCATTTTATAAATCACTTTGGAAGTAAACATACGAGGAAAATTTAAGAAGTCATTTTCAGGAGTCTGTTCGAAATTGATTAAGGATATTCTTCTCTGAAATATTTGCAAGCTTTATGAAGATGACTTCTGTATATAAAGTCTCTTCAATTTCTTCGATTGTACTAAACAAGATATAGCATGTCATACAAACACTGCAGGACAGCCACAAGGCAGTCGTTAGACCAGCAATACAAATAGCTCCCACGTGGAGCAAGGAGCACTGCAGACTACGGCATTTCACGTTTCCAAATTTTCTTTGGAAGTAACAGGATGAAATGGAAAATCTGGTTGACTGTGTCTGCCTCCTGGGGTCTCAAATGATGCATCGCAACTTTGGGAGCTAATAACATACACTGTCACATAAGCATTCTCAAGGTAAGCACCACTATGGAGACTATTCTGAATTGTTAAGTATTTATAGCTGCTGGTATTTGCAGCATTAGGAAGACAAGTGTGAGGTTACAGTCTTTCAGCAGTTTTCATAGATAACTAGGCTGATTGTTCAAGAAAATTTCAAATTTTTTTAGACTATCCTATGATGTGAAGTGGCAATCTTCTGCAATAGCAATAAAATGTAAATGAACATTTTTGCCAGATTAAGCACAAGTAAGATCTTGAGACTCTTAACTAACAGAATTAGCTTAAAGTCCTATGTAAAAGAAAACAGATGCTATAATGGCATGTCTTGTCCAGGGCTCAAAGGAATGCAAGAAAAACAAAGAAAGTAGCTGGGAGGTAAAAGCAAGATGAGCAAAAGCATCAAGAAACATTCAATAAAGTCTCTGTTACAACTGCTAATAAGGAAAAGAGGAACACCCAGTCCAACAGGCAGAAGATGCGATTTCTTATCATCTTTAAAGACATTATTTTGAAGATGTAGGTGTGACTATAGACGTCAATCTCTTGCGATGGTGGATTATCTCTTTCCCACAAAGAACACACTAACTGGACTCACTCTAGGAAAGATCCAGTTTTCAACACATTAAAATGATGGAATTTGGAGTGACCACCTCACTTGTATCACTTTGCTTAAAGACTGCCGAAATACAAACTGGGATGAAAGATTTTCTTTATGTAGCTTAAAAAAAAAAAAAAAAAAAAAAAAGCGCGAAAAGGATCTCTTTTCAGAGCAGCACTTTTAAAAGTGAGAAGATATCAATGCCCTTCCAATTCACACAAGCCTACCACATAGGCTTGAATTCTCAGATGCATGCCAAGTTGTTAGTTATAACTACACTTCTACATTTCTTAAAGAGAACATTTCACATTGGGGAAAACTTTAATATATGTTTGAATTAACAGATATGGTCAAATCAAGTGTATGTTAATATTGCTTTCTGTCTGAAATCTGTGATAAAATCACAGTTCAAAGTTCTTGACAGTCAGTCTGTTTCATCCTAAGCGTTTCATGAAGGATTCTGCAAAGTGGGAAAAAACCCACAGGTAGTGATGGAGAGAGCTCTTACTCAAAACCTAATTATCACCTCTGACATCAGCAACAGTAATGCAGAAATTACTGGCAAAATTGATTCCTGAATAAGTTCTCCCTTCTGTCAAGTTTTCCACAACAAAGAAGTCCCTCTTTAAGCTCTCTATGGTTAGTTTGATTTAGAAGAATAGGGAACAAACTCAGGTTATTGATTCTTACCTTCAGTCCTGTTTTTTCATCATCACTACCATTATTTGTAGATGGTGTTTCATCCCCTTGCCTGGAAACCAAGACAAAATCTTCACTGTTAAGAGTGGATACCGAGTCTGAAGAGACACTGATTTTTCCAACAGAAGCCTTGTCATCCATGACTTAAAAAGGAAGTTCGATTCATGAATGAGATTAAATATGTTATAAACTCCTGAAAAACAAAAATCATAAAAATACTTATATAAAACTTCATGCTAAAATGCTCCAACGTTTCTTTTCAGAAACCTGCTGACTAGTTATAAAAAGTAACACATCTGACAGTATAACCAAGTTATAACTCTTCTGTCAGTGTACACTCATGGTCCTGCTTTGATTTTGCCAAGCAGCACGCTACTATTAGAGTACTGGTTTCCATAGCTCACAAAAGGGAAGTTAGTAAATCTTTTTGCAGTATTTCATGATTGTGTCAGGCACCATTTTCTACACGTAGCACAAAACAGGCCTTTGGAACATACACTATGCCTGCTGACATATTATTAAGGCCAGAACTATAAAGTCCATTTACTTTCTTCAGATAACCTGTCTGCCTTCACCTATGTTCATGCAAAAATTACTTTTGTAGCTATCAGAGCTCACTGTATGCTGCAGTCACATTCTTTTCCCCCAAAACAAGAGTTAGATCTAACTCTTGATATTTTGTGGTAAGGATGCTCTAAAACCTTGGGCATTTTATGAATCTATGCTGAATCTTCTGTACTGTAACGAACAATAAAAGAAAAGACTTCCAAGAAGCAGGAAGAACAGCGTAGGCTGGATCAGTACTGAGAATCAGAGCCAACAGAGGATTTTAAAAAGCTGGTACTGGCACTGAGAGGCATTTGAAGAAAGGAACAAAAGGTGAAGTTCAGCCGCACACCTTGAACTCTACAGCACAGATTCTCAGAATTCATGGCTCAAAACAGACTGCCGTGATAAAAATGGGTAATTAATTTCCCAGAAACCCAAATATACCCTTATCACAATGGCTCAGGTCTTTACATACTCCCAAGCATGACCAAACCAAGTGCTTTTTCAGCCTCAAGTTCTGCCTTCCATTTGGTGGAGCACTGTCCCAACCTGGCTTCCAACAGAGCAGCCAAACAACGGGGAAACCTGGCATATCCACAAGCACAGCTCATCGCATTCCTCCCTGAACCAAGAACAATGCACCAAAAATAGCAAAGCCTGCTTTTATTTCTATCAATACCCTTCTCTCCACAGCCACCAATATGACATGAAATCTGCCAAGAGGACAACAATTTTTTTTTTCCTCTGGGTTATTTTTAACCCGATTACTTTACCAATCAAGTCACTTCACAGTCCTGAAACATGTTTCACTGGACAACTGAAGCAGTGCGAAAGAGGAAGAACGGATGTGGGTTGTTCATGAATAACAATATATCTATGATTATTGGGTTGCATTTTCAAAAGCATGTAAGGTATTTAGATATCCTTTTCAAAAACGTTTTAAAGATCCACTGAATTTCAATGAGAATTACCTGCTGAGAAACTTATATATTTTGAAAAGTTTTACTCGCTGTATGTGTCTATCTGGTATTACTCGCATAGATCTTAAAGGTAGGGCGGAGTTCTCATTCTGAAAGATGCTTTTGTTTAAAGAATTCACATTAAAACATTTCTACAGAAGTTCCCTACTGCACCATCTAGATAATATATTGAAGCACAAAATAAAAATAAGCTTCAAACACTTAATACTCCTTTGGCTTTACTGTTTTAATTCAAACAGTGCAAACTCATCTGCCACACTAGGGCAGTATGAGTAGAAGAGTTGGCTTTGATCACAAGCAGCTGTAAAGATCATCTAGGCAAGGATCAATTTAGCAATTTATTTTGGTATAGCGCGTCTGTCTTGAAGCGTTAATTTCACCTATTTCCAAAGTCTTTCAATGTGACACCTTCCACCAAGATTAACTTCAATTAAAGAAAAAGTATGCTCCGCTTTTGCGTACTCCTTTTTTTTAGTAGCGTAGTGTAAACAGACACCACACTTGATCCTGGAGCACAGCTGGCTTAGCCTAACCCCTACAGCAGTTTCACAATACAGAATTGCAACAGCAGAAGGTCCTGATTAACCCAACTTTGCCAACCTTACATTGAGCAAAAGTCTTACTGAAATTACACAAGATAAGACAGCACAGGAAAGGGGACAATGTAGTAGACCACTGTAAGAATATTTTGTTTATTAGTGATGTATCAGCAAGCGAGGCTCAATTACCCAACCACACTGGAATCAGCCACAGTTCATTGGATTAATGCTCAAATAGTCAAGGTGCAAAAGCAGAGTCTTAAAATTCTAAAAATACTAAAATATTGCCTGAAGTTAACCAAAGTTTCCATATCCCCATACTTTGCTTTGCATGCATTTTATTTCCTCTGTTCCTTGCCGTCACTTTGTTCCATGCAGACTACTGCACAGATCATTTTACCTGAATCAGAAAACTCACAATGGCAGAATCAACAACAGAAAGCCTATGAGCTCGTTAAAATATGGGCCAGCCTAGAAGGGCACACATCAAAGACCAGCAGAGCAATTAAGTGTGGCAGGCTTATGACTCCTCTGGAATCAAAAAGCAAGAACAAACAACAGCGGTGACAGTGCTCTTTAGTAATACCTGCAACTTGTCTTAAGAATTGAAGCTTTCGGTTCTCACAGTTTAGAGAGGTAGGAGAAAAGACCCCAGCCACGCACAGATCTCAAGTTTTAACGTTTCTCTGAAGAAGCCAATCTCTCATTCCTTACAAGGAGAGACTTTGGTTTGTTTCAGCATAAATAAAATATGAGTTTTTGAAATCAGCATAGTTTAGTTCCTGACACAAAACTACACCATAATAATGTAGTACTTGCCTGAAGGTGTCTTTACACCTCTACGGGAGACAGAGTGTCTAGGTAAAATGCACCCTATGAGACAAATTTTTAACAACTTATTTGTTTGCTCACCTGTGTAATTAAATGGGTATCCTGGCCTCTCCTCACACAAAAGACCATTAGAAAAAGCTGCAAAATGAGAAGGTCAACACGGCTAGCTCTTGGGTCACTGTTTTCAGTTTTATTTAAAATTCTAATTCTCAGTGCAATTCACCTTCACTGCTGCTGTTACACAATGCTACAACACGAGTCCAAGAATCAAACTATCTTTTTAAAAATGTTCTTGTTTATCTTTAAAGCAACCAAACAACAGCAGTAACCTACCTTACTCTCTCTATTCAAGATAACATGCAAAGGAGCAGCAATCACCATGTTAAAATCTCAAACAACTGGAAAAAAAAACAACTATCAGAGTTCGAGATTAGTTATATAGATTTATAAAATATTTATCCTTTACTTTCCTATCTTCTCCCAAGTATTTGGCACCTGACCTGCAACTTGTAATCAAAATTTTCCTTGTAAGTACTGCTAGAATGAATTTAAAAGACCTTAAAGCAAACAGTATACAAAAAAAAGAAAACTAGAAAACCTTCCATTTTACATTACTGTAAGACACTGAGGCTTGAATGCCACCTTGAGACTTGCGCAACAAATGAAGCAAGGCACTCGTAACTATGGCTGGTCTCAGTCCATTTCCAAGGGGTGCCTGTTTTCCCATGTTTAGAATATCCACAGCCACACAAAAAGCAAGAGGATGAGCAGAAAAATTAATGTTTCAGCTGTGAACTTCTTGGAGTGTTTAAAACAGCAGTTACCTTTAAGTCAACAGCAGATGTAGCACCCTTAGCTCTGAATTTAGAGGGGAATAAAACACAAAACCTAAGTATGTTTTGGGCTTTCAGGGCAGAAAAGAGACTAAGCATGAGAACAGGTATGCAAACTAGAGAGGAAAAGAGATTTTTTTTTTTCCCCATTCATCTCTTTCCTGGTGTTTGTACTTCAGCTGCAGTTCCTGTAGCGATCCACAAAGTTACAGTATATCTGATGAAGAACGCACCAGATATAGAAGAACAATACAGCAATATTAACTAAATTACTGAAGAATGGTATACTTCAAAAAGCTATCTTGAACAGCAAAGTCAGCAAGCTTGGCATGCAAAATAAACTTATATCCTCCATCCCCTAAAATATAAAAACACTAAGTACAATGTTAAAAAACATGGGAGACAATGAGGTAGCACACAGCCAAGACACTGAGGTGACTGATTCAATGCAAATTGATTCACTGAAAATAACATATTTTCTCTTTCTATTCCTCTGGCTTTATGCATAGCTTAACAATATCATCGAGTACGGTTCAGTTTAAACATACAAAGTTCTGCTTTCCTAGTTTTCATCATTAGCATCTTAGTGTGGGTGAAAAGTGGAATTTGTAGCAGAGTTCAGAAGATTTACAACGTACTTTGCAAATCCATGTTATGACAAATAAACCAGCATTGTTTAGGACTCTTAGCTCTTTACAGTCTTCGACATCCGTGATTTTTTTACCTTCACAATTCACATAGTCTACACTTAACTGTTTTACAAATACACAGTGAGTCCTGAAAAGAGCCTGGAAAATGCTACAGCACAATGCCATCATTACAGGCGGTTGCGCCAGGTGCTTAAGCCTGAGCAGCCTAAGAAACGTAAGAGCAAAAGTGATGTCGCACTGACAGACATGTGGGAAAGGAGCTGTGGTTTGACTTTTTCTGAGCACATACACACCGCCTGTATTTTACTGTGGCTTTGGGGAAAAAAAAAAAACATACAAGAAAGATCAATCACTAGCAACCTTTTTCTTCTCACATATCGCATGATTAGTCTGCATAATTGTATGTTTGATCTTTACCCACCTTCCCTGTGCAACACACTCTCAAATACAAGGAGAAGTATTTTGCACTCAAAATGAAGCAAGAAAGCCAGTGGAATACTGCATGTGAAAATAAAGATTTAGGATGACTAAAAAGAGTAATTGATAAAAAATAGCAAGTACAATACTAACTTTTCTGTTCATTTTAAAACACACTGACAGCCACAGATGTTCCCACTAACCTCAAAAGCCAGACAGAAAAAAGATGTCATTATCTGGAGATAACACTGCCTCAAATTTCACACTCCCCCCCCTTCTCAAGAACAGAGAAGGGCAGATCTCAGGAAGCTGAGTGAATCATTACACATTGTATGCAAAACCAGGAATCAGACAAAACACAGGAGTTAAGCTAATACAATCTTTGTTAACAATCCTTAACAGATTCATATTTATTACCAACATAATTTTGCTTTTAACCTTAATTTGAACTATCTGCTCAGAGGACAAAACTCTAATTTTAGGCTTCTGTAATAAGCAAATTCCCCAACCCCAGAAACACGCGGCAGGTCCTGGGAAACCATGGTTTATAAAAGAAACGCTGACACTGCCTCAGCTAGCCCATCACAAGAATGTCGCTGGAACAAATTAACTATGAACGGTTGGTTCATCCACGCTCCGCGGCTGACGCTCCATCAGCAGGCACATCTAAGCGCTGTCTGCATGGGGGAGCCGGGATATGCAGGACACAACCCAGGCTGGAGGCTGGGATAAGGGCAGCGCAGCCAGAGGCTGAACAAACTCTGAAGATGAAGCTCTGTATACTCGTGGAGTTCCTCTCATTAGGATTCAAACAGAAACAGAGAGTTATGCTTACCAGACAAACACAGCACTTCAAAAATATGCTGTGAAAGAACTGAAAAAAGGAGAGTTACACTCCGTGCATGCCGCTAAAAGCTGTCTGCACTTGGATTTGGAAAACAAAAGGAAACCCCTATGCCAAGCTCCATTTGTTAATTTGTTTACTGTGTACACAAAAAAAAGTTTGCTCAGGTCCTTGACCTTTTAATGTTAAGTAGAGGCCTTTAAAAAGAATACAGTGTTTCTGTAATTTAATCAGCAAAGAAGTAGTCCACCAGTTACGCATTTTCTAACAAAGCAGCCAAAAACCTCAGAAATCCCATCAAGTTGTGCTTTAACAAAACTTGTAGAATAAAATTGGGGATATAGATGAAGCTATATCCAACAACGCAGGTAAGCAGTGCTATGATCTCCAACTCGTGCTTAAGAAATAAACATGACCTTTTCCCTCTCTCCAAACCTCTCCTGAGCATTTTTGCTCCTTCTCTCCCGCAAAATGCTTCGAACAGGCAAAACTACACAGACAACAACCACAAAGTCTGCTTCTACCAGTTATATTTTCACTTAATTTTCGCCGATGCATGTTTTTAAACCAAGTCAGCACAGTCTGTTTGTTTATACTTAATTTCCATCCCTAACAGACACAATCAGCCCTTAAAAATTCTCTTCTGGGGATGTTTTAACTGAAACAAACGTGTCCTTGCCAACAGGAAGGAAAAAAAAAAAAATAACTGAGAGAAACACGGACGTTACGGTACACAAACCAAATAAAGGCGTCTGGGCGGAATGAAACGCCACGTTTTAGGATGCACCTGGAAGCAACAGGCAACAACCGACACAGCCGGGCCACGGCGGGGGAAAGCGGGCGCCTGGCCGGTAAATCCATCACCGTCAGTCCCAGAGGAGCCCGGGGCAGCCCGGGACAGAACGGCTGTCGACCCGACGGCTCCGGTACGCGCTCAGAGGGGTCCCGGGACCACCGACGGGTTTCCAGGCTGGAGGAGTGAGGCGGGTCGCCCCTAGTCCCGTTCCCCCCCACCCCGCATCCCGGGGAGCTGGCGAGGACGGGCCCAGCCCGGCGTCCCCCC